TGCGGGGTTAGCTTATGCTTGCTATATTGGGGGCAGAGTTTAGGGTTTAGGGTTTGGGCTTGATGGTTTTTTGGTTTAGGGTTTGGGGTTTAGGGCTTAGGGATATTAATTAGCCCCTATCTAAACTGCCAAAAGTGTTTAAAGTGCTTTCCGCATTCCCAACTATGCATGAGCAAGTTGCAGGTGGGTAGTTTGGGTTTCGGGTAGCCTCCCATACTAGACCCGTAAGAGTTCTGCTTCTCGGACGGCATGGCATAGAGCCCGAAAGCCCTAAAGTAAACGCAAAGCCTTTGAACCTCCAAACCTTTAACCTCAGACTCTCATAGTGCCCCTTAAGTAGATAGAACATAAGGGTATGTGGGGATCTTACTACAACTAACATATACCCTAAACCCAGAGCCACCCAGAGCCTCTTTGGGAGACTGCTCGGCTTAAAACGAGCCACCTGTCAAGGGCTTCGAACCGCCTTAGGCCGGTAAGTCAAGCGCTGCCTCCCGTGCGTTCTCAGAGGGAAGAGCATTGCTGAAGCGGATAGACAGTATAGGGATAATGGAAAATGAAATGGAAACTACTATAATATATTGGGTTATGGTGGAATAATGGAAAAGAAAATGGAAACTACTATTATATATTAGGGGTATATTGGGATAATGGTTTCACCCAGCTCCAGCAATTCTTTCAATTGGGCATCCAAGCATTCTCTTATGATGTCGAGTCAAGGACTTCAAACCCTGAATCCCTAGGATTTAGGGTATATATTGGGTTTATATTGGGGTTATGTTGGGATAATGGAAAAGAAAATGGAAACTACTATAATAGAGAATCAAATGGAAAAGAATATGGAAAATGACATGGAAACTGGGAGAATATAGGGATTTCATTAGGGTTTATATTGTGATTGAGGCATTAGGATTATAGTTTGAGTCCGGCCGGGGAGCGCGCTTGCAACGCGGACTTTTAGCAATGCATCGGCAGGCCGCAGGTCCTAGGTGGACGCAGAGGCGGTTCTGTCAGTAGGGAGGTATGACAATGGAAAAGGAGTTGGTGATTAGCACATTATTGTTTATATGAGCTGTAGTCTTCACTCCTTAAAGGGGTTACTTGGGGGATCATATAAAGAAGTATCAAACAGCTTACAAAGGGGGATACTACGAGTTTAAACGATATCTCATATGAGACCGTGAGGCATCATGTGAAAAGGGTAACGGAAAAACTGGCATACGGGCGGAACATTCTCCAAGGTATCCATGCTTGTGGGTTGCCAGTTGTAATATTGCACTGGGTGCTATGGCTATGGGGCATTACGATACAACTACAATTACTATTGGTACTATTACTATTTTGATTAGTACTATTACCGCATTTTGGAACCTACATGTATATACTCAGAGTGACTTGTCAGTCACTGCAATGACTGTTAGAAGTCGGTTATTGACTAGCCTTAAACAGTTGTACCGTTGCGACTATGCATTTTCTAGTGGCCGCCCGCACCTTTCCTAGATCTCGCTGCCCGAAGCGCAAAGGTAGGGGTCTTCTGGGGGCATCAGCAGATACAGAGTATCAGGGTTTAGGGCGGTGCTTGGTTCAAGGTATGGCAGTCTTCTAGCCCTTAAAAAGGATTGTGGAGGGTTTATCCGGAGAGACTCCTCTCACTGCACATTCATGAAGCGTGTGCATCTTGAAATCTCTGAGGGCAAAGCCCTGTGAAGCTCAGAGTGTCAATTAGCCTTTTGGCTCTTCAGGTGCACCTCGGCATCTACAAACCGCGCGTCGGATGGTGTAGAAACATAATGCGCGACAGGTCCAGGGAAAGAGTGGAAACGTTCTAAACCCAAGCAGCAGTCCTTTTGAGGGGGATCCATTTCCAAAGGGACCAAGTTTTGAGAATTGCCTTGAAGGCAGGGAACAAGATCCACAGAGGCAACATGTTTTGCTTCGACCTTTGAGTTGTAATCTGCGTTCCTTATTGACCCAAATACCATGCATAAGCTTGCCCTTCCCTTTTGTTGTACGTAGGTGTGGGATTTTTGGGGCCCCTTTTGTCGGATGCTTGAAGAGCCCCACAAGTTAAGCAGGGCGTTCACTACCGGTCAGAGGTGCTCGCGGTCGGGCCTCGCAGATGACTTCTCTTCCCCCCGAATAGTGCCCAAAAGAGTAAACGCTAAGCCGCTAAGCCCGAGTCTCTAATCTCCAACCCTAATCCCTAAACCCTAAACCCTAATCCCTAAACCCTTATGCGCCTTCATGGCATAAAGCTGTATGCTCTCATGACTCTCACGGCCATTGCTGTGCTCTTGTGATGCTTGTGTTCTTCTCGCTTTGCTTGGTGCCTTGCAATTTCCACTGCAATATAGTTGCCTGCGTGATCCTTACTTTAGGCTTGTAAGGGTTTTCGGGTGTGGATTAGGGGGGGGCAGGTTGCCACTATCCTCACACGGACAATACCATGGACGCTGGGTTTCCGACAGAGATTGTCTACGAAGCTTGGTGTTTGTGTGATCGCTGACAACTCTGAGTTGGGGTATACTAGATTCGGCAGTTTCCCTAAAGAGGGGGACCCCAATATAGACCCCACTATAATAGCACTCTATTATGGGGACCACCCAAAATTTTGGTACCCCTAATTTGGGGACACTACCACTAAAAAGGAATGCGGGAACAGTGCAGGCGCTCTTTCAGGATCGTCATGGCTACCCTCATTGTTCCACCGGTTTCCTCTCCGAACTCTGAGCCCTGCAGGAGGTTCCCAAAATCAGGGGTACCTTCTTTGCTCTCCCTAATAAGCACTACACAAGAGAAGCACAGTTGCTTTGCCGGAATCTTTGTACGATTCCAAATAATGCTGCCAGCAGAGGCATGTACTCCCAGACTCCTTATGCCTTAAGCATCATTAAAGTAAGGTGCATGCTGCAAGTGGTGGCTTGTAAAGGCGCATCCCAGGAAACTGTCGCAGACAACATGTTCCAAGTCTCCAGTCCCCATCCACACGCACACGCCAGCCAGTTTAAGGGTCTAGGGTGGAGCCACCCACTTAGACACCTTTCAGAACACGCACCAGTAGATCAACAGCTACGCACCATGTTGCCGATGCATGTGGAGCAGCTGGCCCGGGTCACCTCTATTTAGTCGAGGGATGTTATAGCCATTCTAAGACTGGGATCTAGTAGGTAATAAGGGAAGACATTATATAGGAGTAATGGAAAAGAACATGGAAACTGCTAGATTATGATAGGGCAGTAGGTAATAAGGGAATACAATATATGGGGATTATGTAGGGATTAGACTCTCTGTTTCCCTACTACGCACCAGTGAGCATAGTCATCGTTATGAGGCACTGGTAAGGGTCGCATATGTTTTGAGAGCGCCAGGTGCCTGGATGTTTTACTGAGGTCGGAGCGTCCCTCCTTTATGCACTCGCCCTCGCTTTCCGAGTACCTGCGGAGGATGCTACATTATGCTGGGCTCTCAGTCCCACAGATCTTGCTCTTGCCTGCGGTCATGCTTGAGCTTGCCGGATCCTTCCCTGTTGCAGAGATGTTGGTTTGCAAATGCCACTCCATGGATAGCAGGTTTTGGATGATGTGCCCTGGTGCCAAAGCATGTGTGCAAACTAGTGCAAACACCCCAAGTGCAACCCACACTGCAAAACCTCCGTGATCAATTCGGGGCTTGAGGGAGTGGGGAGTGAATCGCATGCGGGCTTCCCGGAGATTTGGCAATCAGGAAATGGAAGGCGCCCAGTGCGTGCTCCCACGCTGGACGGTGGTGGAAGTGGACTCTGCACATGAAAAAACCTGTGTTGGACGAGATCACGCGCATGTTCCTTCAATCCCTATATTCCCCCAGTTTCCATTTCATTTTCCATTTTCTTTTCCATTTGATTCTCCATTATGGGGGGATAATATACCCTAAACCCTATATAACCCATTGTATTGGGGGATTCATCTTCGAAGGCATGCCGAAATTTGGATAGGAGGTTGGTGAATCGCTTTGAGGGTTCTTCAACGGCAACAGATTCGGCGGAACGATTTGAGGGTCAAAGACGGATATTTTTGGGCCTCTGGTCGATCTGATCTTGCTGCCTGCCAGAGTTTCCTGGGTGGTCCTCATTGTTCCAGGCGTGCTGCTTCGGTTTTTGAAGGCACATGGCTGGTCCTTCTGCCACCTGGCGTTGAACATGGCGCTGTCGCAAGTGCGTTGCAAGCACGCAGTTTTGCTGGTTCGCAGCCCATTACCTTCTTGAGCATGCCAATACTGATGCAGCGGGCCCTTTGTCAATACGATTCTTGCAGCTTAGTGCTGGTCCGATTTACTGCCATGTTGGCCTGCGTTAGATGTGGAGCGTCAGTTTGTACCAGACATCCGGCAGCCATCGTGGCAAAGTGCGGTAGTGCAACCAATGGTCGGTGCATCTGCAAGGCCGCCGCATTTTGCGCGCGCCTTGCGTTTCATGGGTGAGGATGTGCGCACGGTTGCTGCAGAAGGTAGGAGCACGTGCCTACGTGAGCCAACAACGCTGCCCTGTTCTAGCTATCTTATGCAAACCAGGGCGTTCCACGTACCGTGGCCCCGTAACGTCGGTCTTGACATTCCGCTCTCCCACCACATTGCAACGGCGGGGGACATTTGTGGAACAGTACGCGCCTCGGCACTCACTCCGACGACTGCCCGGCCAAGTGCACGCAAAGACAAACAATCGAATGCATGTCAACTGTTTTGTGAGTTATCCTGCCACCCTAGGGTCTAGGGTTCGGGGTAAGGTTCACCCTGCAACCCTTACATGTACACGAAACTTTTGAGTGCATGCGCTGGAGCTTTTGTGCGGCAACAAGAAAGTCGGCTGTACATGCGAGTCACACCGAACATGTCATGCACCACGGTGCTCAACAATTTAATGCGCTCAAGGGGGTCTCATGCTGGTCCATGGCACAAACTGCCGTGCATGAAACCCTAGATAGCGTGATTTACGCATATTCCTGCTGGCTGTGCCTAACGTTTGCGGACGGTCTTGTGGCTGCTGCGTGCATGCACCTAAGCAAAGATAATGTTTGTCGCGGTTCGTTGTGGTACACGATTATCCATGTTGGCAGGCGCGCCTTCATTACACTTGGTGTCCCACTTGTTCCAACACAAATCGCCCAATTGAGTCGCCGTTTCATCCCCACGTTCGCGGTCTGTCGTAAGTGGCCATGCAGCGGCGTTTGGATACCATGGGAAACTCTGCTTTCCGAAACTTGTCCGGGTAACACTGTACTCACTGAGCGGGAGCGTCAGTCCATCCGCAGGACAGCGTTTGCCGCGCAGCAGTCGTTGCATTGGAGGCGAGTTGCGCGCGTTTTTGAGTTTGCCTGTCAACGTTCATTTCCTGTCAATGCAGATCCGGAATGATACGCACTTTGGGCACGTCCGTGGATTGGTGTGAGCTTCCAACGTGCGATTTGCACCAGCAAGCTGCCAAAGTCGAATTTGAGCAACCGCCGCTGAGCCAAAGCGGAGCAGCGAAAATGGGCAACTTTGTGAATCACTGAGCTTGGTCGCAGTCTTCCGGCCCCTGCAGGGCAGGTGGCGTGCTGCCAGGCCCGGTAGTCCATGCGCAAGACTCCCATAGCTGTGCCATAGCTGATTTTGGAGTCGTGCGTGTTGAGGGCTGTGAATTCCGCTGCTCTGCTAGCCCTCGCCCATACCTGTACCAGTGCCTGTCTAAAAGAAGCTAGTCATGATTCCGGTGCCAAAACCACAGTCGTTTTTTGGCAAGCACTCCAGCACGAAAGTGGTCTGTTGGCTGCCCCCGCTCGTCCAACAACCATGATTCTAGACAGCGGGCCTAGCCAACAATTTCTTTCAAATGGGACCTTCTCGAAAATCACACTGCGAGTCCCCTGCGTGGGTCCCCCAACAATGTGGGTCCCAATGATACCTTCCTGTTTTAGGGACAGGCATGTAGGCCACTGCAACACGGCCAACAGAATTTCTGGGTTCCTTCCCTGGCAATGATGGGGACCGGGTGCAAATTCTCCATAATGACGAGACACCTGCTTGTCTTGGGACAAATGTGTGGGGATCTCTGAAGTGTCCCATCGCATGAGCGCAGCATGGGGCAAGCTCAGCAAGCTCAGGTTCGCTCTGACGAACAAGCATGTTGCGAGATGCAGCTCTTGAGTTCCGTCGCCATCCCCAACATCATGATCGGCTTCAGCCCCCTGCCCCTGACAAATCGGCACGTTGGTTGAATGCGACGGTGTGGCGCGTAGAAACGCGCAACGACTGATTAGTAGTATCGCATGGGGCATTAGCCGGGGCGTGACGCCATGCGGTGAAAGAACCGTGAAGCTCAATCTGCGTTGCCTCTGTGCTTTGTACCGTCGTGGTCGGATGCAACATATGCTGCATGTCAGAATTGCGGCCAAATGGGCGCCATCATCACCATGTGAGCCCCGAAAGCACGTGGCTGAACCCCCACAATGGGATGATTTACCAACAAACACCCTGCCGATAAAGGCTCTGGGAGCCGAAGGATGCCTGCTTGAGGAATTTGCGGACGTCCCCCCACCACTCGCGAGCGGTGTTCAAGTGCGCGAGCTCCGCGTTTAGCCTTTGATTTTTTCGTCCCTTTGCCTGATGCAGTCGGGCGTCCTTGTTGCCATTCACTTGGATTGTGGAGCGGCCAAGAGGGAGCGGACCTAGGAAAATTCCGATTGTTAGACCCACTGCAAAGAGGTCAGCTGCCGCGCCCCAGGGGCAGGTTTGAGAACAGCCATGCGTCACAGTCAGAAATTGACACATCACACGCATGACTGCTGTTCGTTTGCAGCAATAAGCTCAACGCCGAAAACATTTAAAAAACACAACCGCGCAATCATGCACTGTAGAACCGTGCGAACAACATCTGACTGACCCTTCATAAGGATTGGGGGTCATGCTGTGCCCTTGAAATTATTCGGGCATTACAAAGCCCTCGCTCAACCGGTGTTGAGCTTTGGATAGGATCGGTGGCGTTGGTCCACAAGATGCCGTGGCCAGGTTTTTTGAACATGCTGAAACGCATTGAACTTTTTGGTGGAGGGAGCGCGCGTCACACGCATGTTGTTCACGTGTTTTCTGCGTCAGGCGCTCTGCTGCTTTCACAGAGGGGGCCCAATTCGGTCCAACTCATGACGGCGTCGTCATTCCCGTGCGAAGTTTTGCGTGCTCCTCCACGTACAATGCGCTTGGAAACGAACGGGCCGCATGTGCCACCTCGGGCACCAATTCGACTGCGCCGTGGCTAGTGCAGTGCGGCTAGTGTTTGTCGCGAGGCCGGAGCTCGTGTCATCCCGTGCCGCCCACAGTGTCCGTGTGGTTGAGATGGGCACAGGATCACGGTCACCGACGCTGCAGCTAGCTGGGCTGGGCTATTGACAATACCCGGAACCGGTTAAGACTATTTCGTTCACGTGTTTTCCGCGTCAGGCGCGCTGCTGCTCGCAGAGGGGCCCAATTCGGTCCAATTCATGACGGCGTCGCCATTCCCGTGCGAAGTTGTGTGTGCTGCTCCACATACAATCCCCTTGAAGACGAGCGGGCCGCATGTGCCGACCCCGCCGTGGCTAGTGCGGCTAGTGTTTGTCGCGAGGCCGGAGACCGTGTCATCCCGTGCCAAGATCACAGTCACCAACGCTGGGCGCTACATGCTACCATGATCTCTTTCATGGTTTGGCCCTAAGAGCTGCGCCTTCCAGGTGGCTGGGCTGGGCTAATGACAACGCCGCCCAGCGCAGAAGGCGCGACATGTACCCGGAACCGGCTGCGGCTGAGTTTTGATGGCCGCAATCGGAGCGCCGCTGCGTAAGGAAGCTTCGCCACCAGAGGGCACGATAGGGCACGCCAACACCAACCTGCCGAGGTGAGAGCTGGTCACAGCCTGCCTTGCGGATGATGCCAACGAGAGCATTGGGGAGGCCGGCCGTGCGGCTGCACAGCGGGAATGCGCGCGGTGTGATTTTCGAGCCTGCTTTCTGGCGCGTGCTGCTTCAAATGGCTGTGCTTGATGTAATTGTGACCCCGATGACCGATGGCTTCCGCGCAAAAGCATTGGTCTGGACAGCCAATTCCTGACCTCATTGAGGAGTCGATGAAGGGCGGGTGGGGGCGGGAAACCCTTTCATTGTGGTGTGAGCTAGACTTGCATGCCAGTCCTCACCACATGTTGGTTGGCACAATTATCACTTGGGGTGGTGCTAGCGCCGCGATTCCCAGAACCCTTCCACCGTAACACCGCCGACGCCCGACGGGATCACCCAGAACGCTTGAGAGATCACATCGTGTTGCGCCGGAGGGGTCACACCATGACGTTCAAAACGCTTCCGGGATGAGATCCTGAGACGGAAGTCTGGACGGATCACACCGTGGTGCCCAAGCGCATTTTCAGGGATCACGCCGTGATGCCCAGAACTTTCGGCAGACCCCAATTTGACGTGAGGGATCACACCATGCCTGAAAAAGGTCGAGCTGAAAACGCCTGTTATGTAGGGTAAAACATTGAGTGGATCTTTTGCCCAGCCTTGTACGCGCTGGGGCAGCGCTCCGCTTTGTGCAGCGCGGCTTCCGCCCGCGGCCGGCCAATGATTTGCTGGCTTTTTTTGTTTGCTTCTACGTCACTACGACCCGGGGGTGCGCCTGAGGCGCGGACACAGTTGTCGCTGCTGTGGAAGGGGCGTGCGGCATCGCGTCCAATGTTCTTCAACACCCGTGCCTACAGACCAACACGCGGAACCCCCCCAAGCATTGCCAAATTGGGAGCGTGGCGAGGGGCGTGCCCATCGGATGTCAGAAGTACATGCGCTCTTGTCCAACAACGGTTCAACATCGCGTATGTAGGAAGCCACGGGGTGACGCCATAACATGCCAACGGCGTTGCCGCCGACACGGGCTTGGTGTTTGGCCGCGCAGCTGGCAACACCACGCGTCGCGCACTCGCAACATCCAATTCTGCGAACACGTGCTGCTGCCGCAGTCGGGGCCACATGCCGGCGACTGGCTCGCAGCGGTGCCCTGTCAGCCCGCCACAACATTGCCCTCACAGAAACAAACCTCTTCCGTGGTCCTGGCCTTTTTCCTA